AATGGATTTGAGGTACATGGTTGTCAACGAAATTCGAAAGAAGCAATGGATCAAGAGTAAGCACCCAAGATGCGAGACGCGTTGACGTAATTGCGCCCAGATCATGAGGCCAAACGAAGGCGGAATTTGACATGATATTTTCTTCAAACCATGCACCGCCTGACCCATGAGCAGGAAAGTTCAGCGATTCGTTAGATGCAGCCTGCATGGGAATAGCCAATGCAAAACACAACAAGCCACACCGTGGCAGCTGTAGCTAAACAGGTCAATAGACGAGGAGAACACAAACAAGTACACCAAGGCAGATACAAGTTAAAAAAAAAGATAAACTATGAGTTTAACAATGTTTCGCGTACATTAAACTTCGTTCGCAGGAAGAAAAATAAGCGGCACGAAAGAAAGACTTTCGATTAATCGTCATTTGAAAAGCGAAAGCAGAACGGACGGCATATACGAGATTGTCGCGACGGGTAGGGCGAAAGGAGCCAAAAACCGGTCCCAGCGCGTCCAGAATCCCCGGAAATGTTCCGGCTAGTCTGGACACAACACCGAAACTAACATAAAACGAAAACGCTCACGGGAAATCTGCAGTACAAACACTATAACTAACGTAAGAGATCCAAAGTGACCGTTAGGCACTGAAAGCCGGCCAGCGATCAAAATTTTTCATTAAAAGACAATGCGCGTGAAGCTAAAGCCGTCCCCACTCCCTAGAAGAAATCCCAAGGCAAGGAATTCACACAACAAGAGGCTGAAAATGATGCCTCGCAGAACCCCGAGACCAAAACTAGTTTGATGGGGCAGGAAGGTTCCCAAATTGTGGCTCACGAACATCAAGTGATACTATTGAGAAGATGCGATTCAGATTCTCCACTAAGGTTCGGCTCAGTGTATTTGGAAAGCCTATCAGAATGTTCCCAGTGTTGTAAAAATCTTTGACCAAGGTCAATAATGTTTCACGAGCGCTACAGCAGCGTACAACTTTACACCGCCATTGTACCGTATCGGGAAAAGATCCCTTTATAGTGGCAATCTGGGCTCAAGCCTGCTCTCCAAGATGAATCACTGAGGCTTGAAAAGATTCGGAGATGAGAAAGTTATTAACAGCCAAATGATCCATTTTTTGAAGATAACCTGCAAATCACCAATATGATGTATGTTTCTTTCAAAAATTTTTGTTTCTGAACTGATCTGGACCATACTTAGCACGTTAACGGCCAAACTGATCAATTATTTTAGATAACCTGCAAATCACCCAATATAATGTTTCTTACAATGGTTTTTGTTTCTGAACCGATGCGGACCATACTTAGCACACAGAGATTGCGCTAAGAAGCGCGTAGCAAAGATATCTTCAACCGGAACAATTGTTTTTGAGTGATCTTCAAATTTTGCTTTAGACTGCTGGCACTTGGAAAAAATCATGCTGTTATAAAAATGTTTGGCATTCGCGTAATATCGATTGTTTTATCTACTTACTCACTTTACTAATGCCAACTAGTACAGTGCCTTAATGTGAGAATTAGAAAACTAATTTCAGGTTACACGAAATTCATCATGATTAATTTTAATCTTATTTCTACTTGTTTGTTCAAGGCATTTGATTGAGGAATCCTCGGCGAATGAGACGATTATCGCGCAGAAATCAGTTATAGTGGAAAAGAATCGCTTACCTATAAATGTTCAAACTTGCCAGGCGTTGCCAAGTAGGCCAGCTAGTCGAATATTAAACTATCTTTTTTCTAACTATACGGTTCACTAACAGATGATGTAGAAAGATACTGACGCAAAGTCCTGGTATACAAGGCAGCATTTCCCTTGGTTTGAGAGCACAAAACGTGGGTCGCCTTTTCTGCTGTCTCCTCCGTTTTGCCAATAGTTCAAATATGTCCCCATACCCATCTTTTTGCCCCTAGTCGCTTTTCTTTCGGAAGACGCTCCACCGATTGTCGTCGGTACGTGGTGTTGAGCGTGAATTTGCGTTGGGGCGTGAAATCAATCAAAGAGAGAGGTGTCTTTTCAAGCCGAATTATATTGCTTCACTAGCGAATGGCATGCGTATTCCTTTTTGAATGACTCGGACCGTTGCCGCCACATTGGCAGAAAAGGCAACTTAAAGGCTAATACGGTTTGCATTAAAATTCCCAATAATTGCAACAATATTGGAAGAATATCATACAGGCTACCTTGGGCATGTTCTTACCAGTTTCGACAACTGTTTGAAAAATTTTTCTCATCTTTAGCTGTCAACCTACTCCCACAATAGTTTAAAATATGTGGACTTATTTCGCACATTTGGTGGAGATAGCAACAAAGCAGAAAAGGCAGCTCAAAGGCTAGTACGGTCTTCCTTAGAATTTACAGTGATTGCAAGCATATTAGAAGAATATCATGTAGCCTACGAATTGGAATAAAGGAAAAGGGCAAAAAAAGAAGCAAATCTATACCTGTTCATAAGTAACTCATTCAAACAAAAGAGGATGGTCACTCACTGTTGAGGATAATTCTGGAGTTTCGCAAAAACTTCTGTCGTTGTTGTTTTCGTTTT